GATACATTCCAAGAGCCAAGATGTTTACATCCCTTGATCCAGGAATCTTCCTCCTGGTGGATTATTTATATAAATTCCCAAAAGTAGGGGGAGAAAAAAGTTCATACACAAAGATCTCCTATGCAGGATTATTTATTCAGTAAATATTTACGGAGTTATTTCTATGTGCCAGACACGTTCTAGATGGTGTAATCAAGATAAACAAGGTCCCTGCTTTCCTAGGGATTCTGGGGAGAAGGACAATAAATACCCACATAAATGAGAAAAATAATCTATTTACTAAATTCTCTGCAGGGAATTAAAGGTCAGCAATGGAGAAAAACCGAGTGACTGCTCTCGATGGGGTGGTCGGGGTTCTTGTTGTCACTGTTCAGTCGCTAAGTTGTGTCCAACCCTTTGCGACCCCACAGACTGTAGCAAGCCAGCTTCCCTGTCCTTCACCATCTCCCGGAGTTTGCTCAAACTCATGTCCATCGAGTCAGTGAGGCCATCCAACCATCTCATCCTCTGTCACCCTCTTCTCCTCCTGCCCTCAATCTTTCCCAGCATCAGGGTCGTTTCCAATGAGTCCGTTCTTCACATCAGGTGGCCAAAAGATTGGAGCTTCAGCTTCAGCAGCAGTCCTTTGAGTGAATATTCAGGGTTTTCTTTTGGATGGACTGGTTTGATGATGGGGTGGTCGGGGAAGTTTTCTTAGAGGTCACTAAATAAGATGACGTTTAAGCTGAGATTCTCAGACAAGAAGGGGCAGTCACACAGACCTAGAGGAGATCATTTCAGAAAGGAGGCCAGTGATCCAGGGAACTGCAAGCAGGCTTCTGTGGCTGGATCAAAGCAAGCAAGTGATGGGAAATGAGGTCGGAGGATGGGAGGGGCCAGATCAATAGGATTTTGTAAGCATGAGTGAGGTGTTCGGATTTGATTCAGCAGAGAGAACGAAGCAAAGCAGATAAGACCACATTACAGATAAAAAGGGGGCAGGGAGGGAGACTAGCTCAGAGGGATTCCGGCTGTCTTGGCAAGTAGTGAAAGCAGCTCCAACTAGAATGGTAGAAGTGAAGAGACGAGGATGGATCTGGGATATTTTTGGAGCGAGGGCTGAAAGAGTTTGCCGAAGGAGTTGGGACGGGGTGGTGGGAGCAGAGGACTCGAGGTTTACTCAGGGATTCTTGGCTCGAGCTCAGTAGGTGCCGTTCATACCCCTGGGGGAAGCAGGAGAAAGTGCAAACTTAGGAAAACGAGAAAGGAAGATGTGGGTTGAACTGTGTCTCCCCTAAAAGATCCGTTGGAATCCTCCCCCACCCAGCACCTCAGAATGAAAATGGGGTTGGAAATAGGATTGTTGCCGGGGTCGTTAGTCCAGGTAAGATGAGGTCGTACTGGAGTACGGTGGGTCTGTCCTCTAATGTGACCGGGGTCCTTAAAAGAAACACACAGGGGGAACGCAGACTCTGGAAGGAAGCCAGCCACGTGGAGAATTTGATTGGCAGGCAGTAGTAACTAGCAGGAAAGGCGCTTGGATATTGAGTCCCTCGACCTGTGGCTGTGAGGCGCCTTCAAATCTCTACTAGGTCAGGATACGAAGCCTGAGACACAGCTGAACTTTCAGGCAACGGTTAAGTGGCTTTACCTGAGGGGCTCACAGCGACTTCATTGTTTGGAAGTGATAGGAGAAAATACCACGAATTAGAAAGATAAGATGGAAGACAATAACCCCTTTACAATGACAAATGTAATCAATACCTAGAGTGAACAAGACTTGAAGTATATAATCATAAATCAACTTCCCTTTGTCTCCCACCCTGCTCTATACATGTGTTCAGAGGAAAGGGAGAGAAGCCCTTTTCCTGACCTTTGATAAAAATTCACACATCTTCGACTTTTCTGATCATCTGCTCATTCTGAGGACATAAGAAACTTCTGTGGTCCCTGCAGTCAGTCAGCAAACTCTGTTTGTAAATCAGCCCCATACAAAAGCAAAATCCAAACTTGATTTAAAGTCCAGTCTTTTCTCCAATCAGGGCTCACTGCAGGTGGGACCACTGGAGCTGGGAAAGGTGGTGTGGACCGCTGCTTCCCTTTCTCCAGACCACCCTCCCCAGTTTGCTGGCTGTGACCTCTGCTCTCTCCAGGGCTAAGGGTTGGCAGTGAGAAGAGTAGGGTGAGGGGAGCAGTAGAGATGGTGCTTGGCAGTCCTGTGGTCAGGTGGCTTTATTTGGTTGCACTGGTCTTGGTTGCAGCGCATCGGTGTCTCTCGCTGTGGCCCACGGGCTCTAGAGCAAGCAGCCCACGGGTTTAGTTGACCTGCAATATGCGGGATCTTGGTTCCCTGACCAGGGATAGAACGCGTGTCTCCTGCATTGAAAGGCGATTCTTAACCCCTGGACCACCAGGGAAGGCCCTATCATAAGCTGGCGTTAAAGCTGACTTTCATGTGGGCACATCCAAGCTCTGAGAACCTCTCACCCTCACACAAGTACCACACGATCTTGTATCCCACGGGTCAGCCCTTCTGAAGCCCTAAGAATCAATGGTGCCCGCACCCCGATGGACAGACCAGAGAGGTCTTCACGTCAATTCTTCCGGTGCCTGTCCCATGTCTAGTTGACGGGAGTGGCATCCTGTGCATAAACCGCCTTTGGGAGCTCAGGCTGACCTGAGCAGCAGCGTCTCTCCCTTGTCGTGTTTATCTAAGATGACTCCCACCTCTCATCTCGTCAGTGTCTCTGCTGGCCGTCAGATAACTCTATGTGCCTCCCCATCTCAAACCCCTGTAGACACGTATTACGTCTACAGGTAGACTGCGTAAAGTTCTTTTCTCTTGACTTGTGAAGCAGCTGTCTCCAACACATTCAGTCTTCATTCAACCCTAATCTCCTAATGAAAGAATAGGGGGTCTCAGGGATCTTTCTATGGGCTTCCCAGATGGTGCTAGTGGTAAAGAACCCAGCTGCCAATGCACGAGATGATCCCTGGGTTGGGAAGGTCACCTGGAGAAAGGCATGGCAACCCATTCCAGTATTCACACCTGAAGAATCCCATGGCCAGAGGAGCCTGGCGGACTACAGTCCATGGGGTTGCGAAGTCAGACATGATGAGAGAATAAAGAATCTCAGGGATCTTTCTATAGCACCCTGCCTCCAGGTGGCAGACCCACACAAGCACGTGTGCCCAAAACAGGGGGGTCAAAGATGAATTGAACACTTTCTTGGGGTCTCAGGTGGTTAGGAGGGCCACGACCCGCATCTGTTAGCACAAGGCAAGATGGCTCCCGCTGGACACAGTGGAGAAGGCTCCTTAAAGAAGGCAACTTCTTAGCTGGGTCTTAAAGAAGGACTGAGATCAGGATAAGCCGAAATGAAGTCTTAATAATGAGAGCAAACGTCGAGCAGGGGAACAGAAGGAAGTGTGCACAGAGGCCCTGGGTGGCTTCCTTCAATGAAACACACAGAAGACAAGGCCAAGCCGACCAAAGATGAAGAAAGCCAGGGGTCTGGACTTCTTCCTGCCGGAAGTGAGATGTTTTGGAAGATTTGGAAAGGGCAGCAGGCTGGAGGGTTGGGAAGGGCAGTGACTAATTCTCGGTGAAATGTGTTCTTCATTTCCTTGAGTCATTAACTAGGGCCCCATTAAGAAGAAAAACAAAACAAAAACCTTCCAGGACCTGCTTTCTTTTCCAGGAAAACCCTTACCCTTTGGAACCTCTCACAAGTTCAGTTTATAAAGACATCCAATCCTGTCTTCCCTGTTAGTTAAGGGGCCTGGGCACAGCTGCCAGGACCCTCCTCCAAGCCCTGGAATTCTCAGCTTGAAGCCTGATGGGGCCGGTCAACCCATCTCCCCAGGGTGCCCAGCGCTGCCCTCTGGAAGGGGCTGAGGAGAAGGGCTTCCCTCTGTGAGCAGAAGGGCCACGGAAACCTTGTCTTGATGAGCCCAGCCACAGAGGCCCCGCCGTGGGCCGTCAGGAGCCAAGTGGGAAAAATCCAGAAGGCTGCACAGCCGAGAAAACAGCGGGTTTGGATGCAGTCCCAGCTCTCCCCTTCTTTTCTGATCTTGAGACCTCCCTCAGCTTCTACGTCTTCATCTGTAAGATGGAAACACCGCCATCTACCTCGCAAGGTTGCTGGGAAGGTTAAAGGAGAGGTTGTCAGCACAGCTAGCACACAGCAGATGCTCAACAATCTCCCGGCTCCTCGTCCCCCCGGCATCTCTCTGGGTCGCGGTTTCCTCGCCCACTAAACATGGTGGGGATTCAAGGAGGGAGTTGAACCTGAACAGGTTCCCAGCCTCTGCCATCTGCCCCCCGCACAGGCCCCGGGGAGACGGAGGGCGCTTCTCTGCCGTCTGAGCTCTCGGAGCTCTTTCTTCTATTATTTTCCAAAAAAAGAAAAATCCCAAGTCACGTAGTAGTAGCACGCACCGGCGCATGCTTGCAATGAGTCCACAGCCCCGCCCCGCCAAGCGCCTCTGCCCAGTACTACCACCTGACTCAGTTTCCCCATCTGGAAAGCGGTTTCAACTGGACAGGCGCCCGCTCTGGAGCTGCCCACTAGGCTGGGGAGACGGTGCCCAGCAGAGGGCGCTCTGAGTGCGACCTCCGGGCCGGGGCTCTGGGGAAAGGCACCCAGCCAAGGAAAATTCTAGTGGAAAAATCGAAGAAAGGATTCCAGGTTCATGAGTCCCAGACTTTGAAAAACAGAACTGCTGAGTTGTCTCCTGAGTTAGGGGAAAAGAACACCACAGCCGCCTCAAGATTTCCAGGAAACAACTTGTGAAGGCTTTGGGCGAAGCTGGGGAACGGGGGAGGCCTGGTTTGGGAGGTGGGAGACGGGGGTGGGCGTGTGCCTCTGGGGGCGCCCCTGAGCGGCAGGTCTTCCTGGGCAGCTCCGGGGGTGGGGTGCGTGACTGTGGGTTTATCTGTGCTTGCATCCGTGTGCATTCGCATGCCCGTAGGCAATCCCACAGGTGTTTATTGAGCACCTTCTACGCTCTGTTAGGTGATGAGGATGCAACAGCAAATAGAGTTGCAGAGCAGCCGGCATTCCAGTTCAGTCGCAGGCTTCCCTGAAGGCTCAGCAGGTGAAGGGCCTACCTGCAATGCAGGAGACACAGAAGACGTGAGGTTCGATCCCTGGGTCGGGAAGATCCCCTGGAGGAAGAAATGGCAACCCGCTCCAGTGTTCCTGCCTGGAGGGTCCCGTGGACGGAAGAGCCTGGTTGCGGAGTTGCAGACAGCTGAACGACTAAGCACGCAGCACCCGGAGGTGAGTGCGCAGCTAACACCAGGCAGCCGCCAGCGACGCGGCCCTAGAGACCTTGGACGCTCAGTCTCCTTAGCGGGAAGGTGGACATCCTGGGAGACAGCAGGTGCGTGTAAACGTTGGGTGACTCCCATCGGTTGTACACAAGGCCTGCACCTGGATAAGCACATGCGGTGTGTGCCGTCCCAGCGAGCTTCGTGTAGGGCATTAGCTCACCTGCTCAGGCCGCGTGTGTGATGTGCCAGGCTCTACCAGAGGCTGCATGTTGTGGCCCTCAGATACGGTTTGTGAGGATGCTCATCCAGTTAGGGTTTGGCTTTGGGGAGCATTCTAAAAATCAAGCTATTACACATAAAAATCCAGATTTACAGTTTCTCTAGAAGCCTTGGAAGATCTGGCCATCCTGCAAGCATTTGCATGTGTGTGCCTGTATGCCACGGTTCTGCTGTGCAGAGATGTGTGCTTTCCAGGAGCACCCTCCCCCCTGGCCAGCCTCCAGGCCTGTCCTTGGAGGGACTCCAGGGTGGCTTGGGCGCGCTCGTGTGCAGACACGTTCTCTGTGAACGGAGAAGCAGGACCCGGCGAGAGCTGGTGCCAGGCCCTGGCCTCCCCAGGCAGCTCCGGTTTCAGTAATCAGAGGGCCTGGAGCGGGCTGAGGGCCCTCCCCACGGCCCTCGGTCTGTATAGCTGGACGCTGCTTACAGAAGAGAGCAACCAAGGACGGAAGCCAGACGGACTCGCTTTTCTTGTGTATTATTTGATTTTGCGTCTTAAAAATTCCTGCACTCTAGCTCCAAAATGCTTAAGGCAATGATCTCTGCAGAACATGTGGCTAAATGTCTATACTATGGCTCTTCTAAAAATGAGCAAATAGATTCACGGTAGAAGTGAAAATTGTTAGTTACATTTGCGGAGCCACAGATGTGAGAGACAGGATGGATATTTTCCTAACATTCCTGGATCCTCTTTAGATGGCCAATCAGCCTCTCTTAATAGATATTTACTCGGGCAGGAGACAGAGGCTGAACACGAGGGGCCTACAAAGACGGATACACCCTGCTCTCTGACCCTCGGGAAACCCAGTTTGTGAAGAGACAGCCAATGAGAAATGAATGCAGAAACAAGAAAGGACAGGGCTATAACAGACATCTGGGGACAAAAGACATCAGAGGCCTCTGAACTCTGACTTAATGTGCAAGCTCTTTCCCCAAACTGAGCCCCTGTTTCCCCTTTTTTAGACAAGAAGCTCAGAAGAGATGAGTAAGCATCAACTCCATGTGTTCACGATCCAAGCCCCGAGCTTGGGTATCCTTTGAGGGAACACAGGTTGCAGCCCTGGTTCATAACCCCTAACTCCCTGCCCCATATTCTTGTGCTGTAAATTCATCTAGCTTGAGCTCTGAGATTCATCAGGTTTTTCACATTTCTTTGTCTTGAAAAAAAAAATGTGTCTGGAGTCCAAAAATATGACTGGAGTCCAAAAAGACCAGGCATCTGGTGGAAGCTTCCAGCATCCATTAGAGATGTTCCTAGTCCAGCTGGGGAGAGCAGCCCCTCAACAGGCAGGAGAGTTGCACCCCTTCCCCAGAACCAGGTTTGAACGGCTAAAGAATTTTCCCTGAAAGATTGCACTGAGGTCATTCTCCCACTTTGCAGATGGGAAAAATGAGGTCCAAAAATGGAACAGAGTTCCCCCACTGTCCTGAAATCAGTGTCAGAGGCAGGTCTCCGGATTCCTGAGTCAGAGCTCTGCTCACACACTGATTTTTCCCTCCCGGGTTGAGTCGTCAGGACAAAGTGAGAGAAGGATCCCCAGGCTTACCCCTCCTCAGGCAGGGGTCAACCTCTTTGCAGCTGGAACATCGAGTCATCCCTGTCCCGCTCGAGCCAAGAGCCTGGGAAGCCCACCGTCTCAAAGGCAGGAAGGAAGAGCGGCAATTCTGTAGCCCAGCAGAAGTCCGAGGAGGGCTGGGCATCCACCTTCAGACGCGTCAAGAGTCCCTGAAAGAAGGGGTTTGACGCACAGCAAGACCACATTTGTAGAACAAAGCACCCGGGTGGCCAGAAATGGTGAAGAGAAGCAGCAGGTGGACTATTTCAGACCCAAAGCTGTCTGCCTTCCTCATCGTTGGCCTCATAAGAGCTTGTTGACATCAAAGAGGCTATCTGCCAAGCTCTTTGCCTGGAACACATTACCACCCCTTGAGAGTCGTTGGTACCCCCATCACAAACTGGAATCTCCATGGCACTCTCAAAGCGGCCAGTCCCACAAATACTTGGGAAACCCCTGGGGACGGTTCTGGCGCCTCTAATTCAAAGGAGTTCTGAAGTGCATTGCTTCTTTGCTTAAAATCTGAAAGTCTGTTGAGATAGGAAAAATCACTAGGTATAGAAACTTCTTTCAGAGAAGAACCCCAAATTTCTTATCAAATTTTCACTAGAATGCTATTTCTAATTTCACAACACCCTAAAAAATCAGGCCAAAGATATGTAATATTTTGTGATGATGGTGAGGTCATCATTGATGATTATGACCTCAAGTAAAAATGATCATGGACGGTGTCTTGAGTATTAGCCATTGATTGAACAAATGTTTATTGATTGCCTCCTCTGTGCTGAATCAGGGAAAAAGACAACAAAGAAATCAGACACAGCTTTACTTTAACACCTTTAATTCATTAAATTTCTTATATTCATATAATTCACAAATTCTAGTGGTACAGGAAAAAAAAAACCTGTAAACAAGCATAGTTTATAAATTGCCACTTATAACAAGTATAGAAAGAACAAGATGGAGAGTAACAGAAGGAAACTTGGGACATTTTTAATCATCACATCAAAGCAAAGAAGGTGTCCTATAGGCTAAAGGTTGGTTTTACAAGATCATTTGGTAGATTGTTTCGTTGTTGACATCAGCTGTGTGTGAGTTACCATGGGGAAGTGCTTAACTTGGGTTGAGAAACTCAGGACCATTTGATCTTCTAATCTATCAATACTAGGTGACTGATAAACTGTAATCATCTGTCTAATTAAATTTCCTGGTCCAGGAATCAGAAGTTTTCAGAGGAGGTATAGAAGATGTTAGCAGGAAAGCTGTTCACTAAGTGTTTTTACTAAAGACAAGGACAAAGCCTGCAGCTGGCATTGAAAAGAAGGAATATAGGGGCAAGAAGGGGGATGTCTGGCATTTATGAGTAGAGGACGCAGTAGCCCATTCTGGGCCCCCCGCTTCAAGGGTTGACAAACAGAAACAGGACCGTCCCTAGCAGTCCAGTGGTTAAGACTCCGCTTCCACTGCGGGGGCACAGGTCTGACCCCTAGCAGGGAATCAGCATATATTTAATACGCTCAGTCACATCCAACTCTGCTGCTTTCCCAGTGACATGGTGATAAAGAATCTGCCTGCCGGTGAAGGAGACACACAAGATGCGGGTTCGATCCCTAAATCAGGAAGATCCTCCGGAATAGGAAATGGCAACCCACTCTAGTATTCTTGCCTGGAAAATTCCATGGACAAAGGAGCCTGGCAGGCTGCAATCCACGTGGTGGCAAAGAGCTGGACACGACTGAGCTCTGCCCACCACCCCTCACACACACACGCACACGCACAAACAGAAGCAGCATGAATGACTGGCATTAGGAGAATGGACACCCGGTGCGTTCACCTCTAGGAGCCAGCTGTCATGAGACCAGCAGCCGGGTCTGCCTCATTTACTGCTATAATCAGGGGCCTGTGTTCTGGAAAGGAGAAAACAGTGTTCGCACCTCTTCTCATTGATATCAGTTAACGGAACGAGGCACATGATGTGCTCAGATGAGAGCAGTGTCACGGTAACTGACGCTAAATCAAGTGTAACTGCTGATATTGTCACTGCTATTTTTACCAGGACCGCCAACCTCAGTCCTCCAAATGCTTAGGTTCCAATCTTGTCCTGCCCTCCCACCACCTGGAACGCTAATGACCCTGGCAATGTAATCTCTCCCTCCTCCGATGCCCATCAGGACTATGACACCTGGAAAGGCTCAGTTGTTGGGGGAAAAAAGCTCAAACCGTTGGGACCGCAGAGGCAAGCCAGCTCAGGAGAGAATCCCAGTTTCCACCTCTGGGATCTGGGAGTACTCGTTAGATCCACCATTTTTAAACCATGTTCCTAGAGCCTAGAGGTCAGGATGCTCAAGGCACAGACTCCTAGCTGTCTGCTTCGCTTAACGGAAGGTCCCTGCTTCTAGCTGCTTTGTAGGCTTGGGTTCTGGGCTTCCCATGTAGCACTAGAGGTAAAGAACTGGCCTGCCAGTGCAGGAGACAGAAGAGACGTGGATTTGATCCCTGGGTTGGGAAGGTCCCGTAGAGGAGGGCATGGCAAGTCACTGGTATTCTTGCCTGGGGAATCCCAGGGACAGAGGAGCCTGGCAGACTACAGTCCACGGGGTCACCAGAAAGTTGGACACAACTGAGGCGACTTAGCATGCTTCTTTGGGCTCCAGGTGGAAAAGCATTTGAAGACAGTCTCACAGCTAATACAAGTTTTGAGATAACCCACGGCATTCCACCCAGGTCATTTTCCACTTTAAAAACAAAAACAACACTATGGACTATAATTTGTTGAATTATTGCTTAAACATTCGTTTATTCATCTACTCTCCCCCAAAACTGCTTTAGTGACAGGGAGAAAAACACACACACACACACACAAATGTCCTGACCCCTAGTCCAGGGCTCATTCCAAAATATAAATATATCCTCCAAAATACCTATACAGGTTTCAGGGGAGGCGGGGTGCAGAGGGAAGGAAGACACAGTTTCATTCCAGTACTAAATTGTCAGCGCCTTGTCAATTTTCACCATTTTTCTGTTCTACCTCTTAGAAGGGATGAGAAGTCTCTCCTCTAGGAAACAGGGCGGGCCAAGGAGGTGATGAGACACGCAGGGGGCTTGTCATCCGTACTCTACCATCTTCAATGCAGAACGGCTCAAAAAACTTTAATTTTCCAGAATCCTCCTAACTACTCAATCCTTAGCTCCCTACAGGAGCCACAAGCTTAAAAGGCTACAAGGCTAGCAGCCAAGCTCAAGGTCAAAGTCTGACAGCTAAAGGACTGGGGGAAGACTGGAAAACGGAAACCTTCTGGTGCCTCTTAGAACAAGCAGAGCAGATAGGGATGTGAGAGGCAGGCTGAGGCTCAGTCACCCCCCTCCTTCCCTGTGTGTGCTTCTTGTTCCCAATCGTGGCCACCAGATCTTACGCCTTAGCCACACGCACTACTTTTCTTCTTAAACTTATTTTTGGAATTTTTTTTTTTCTGCTGGGTAGAGATGAGTGGTCTCCAAAAGGTTTTTATTCCTTTCTGAGTCACGTTCAGCCTCACTGGGCTCCGCTTTCAATTTGCTACTCCCTGATGGCTCAGAGGTCCCCTGGTGATGCCCCCTCTATTTCAAGAGCCCCCCAAAATAAGTCCAGTGACTACAGATAAGTTTTTGGTACTTTCCAAAATTAAACTATTTCCCTTGGTAAATTTCCACCAAATGAGCTCATTAATCTGAAAACAGGATGTGGCGCATGAAGAGAGTAAGGTCAGGTTGGCTGCTCACTTACGCTGGCTCGGGGCAGAGAGGAAGGGGTGGGTGGGACAGAGATGGGACCACAGAACGGCTTTTAGAGGCCCCAAAGCCTTCACGGATTGCACTGGGAATCAAGGAGTTTTGAAATCAGAGACTCCGAGCTCTAAATCCTTTTCTCTTAGAATTGAGTGACCACAGAAGCCCCCTCTGGTCAATGTCCCACAGATTGCCGGCCTGGAGGCCCCTTAGACCCTCAGCTTGTCTGCAGGCAGCTGTCTCCCCTCCAGGACGGACTGGAGGCCCTCCTTTCTCCAGGGGGATGGTCATGCAGCATCAGCAGAAGTTGGGAGTTTCACCCCAGGTGAGCTAGAGGCTTAAACACATCCCAGGTTAAAAACAAACCAAAGAAGTAGCACAGTTCCCAACTCCAGTTGGGTGTCAAGACAAAAAAAAAAAAAAAATGAGACCCTAATACATAGAGAATATATATAATGGATGGCTCTGAGTAAGGAAAACAAAACCAGCAAAGTAGGCAGGCTCACTCGGTCCTCAGCTAACAGTCCTGCATATATTCATGGAGGGGCCTTTATCAAATTCGCAAAAACAAAGGTGGTATATTTAAACAAAAATTCTATCCCAACGCTAAATACCATAATTATTTTAATTGATACAAAGTTCACAGGGAATAAGTGATCGTGCGCGCGCGCGTGTGTGTTTAGACAAAACTAGTCTCGGTTCCTGGAAACACCCAGTTTTGTGGAAGCGCCGAGCGCTCGGAACAGCTTTGTACATCTCTTTGCTGATTGCGTCCAACTCAGTAAGCGCTGAACTAGGATCTCCGCAGGAACCCGAGAGGGCTAAGACGCGGGTGTTGCTACTGATCGCCGCACCCCCGCCAGCCCCCCGCAACAAGGGGCTGCAGGCAGGCAGGGGACGGGGTAGTTCGGGTCCCAAATCTGCATTCGTTTATTCCGCGAATACTTCATACTGAGTCCCACACGTGTGCCATGAACTCGGGCGGGGAGAAGGAGAACGGAAGCAGGTCGGTTTTCGGTGCAAAAACAGACTGCCACACCGCGGATCCCACCCCGAGCCTCAGTTTCCCCATCGGGGAGCGCTCGCCCCGCCCCCGGGGCCGCCTCGGGAGGCGGCTCGGGCTGAAGGAACCAGCCCCGGGCCCGCCCTCCCTGGCTTCCGCCGCCGGGGCCAAGTCCTCCCGCCCCCGGAAGCTCCGGCCGGGCCGCCGGGAGGAGGCGGCGGCGGCGAGGTGGGTGCCGCGCCCCCCCGCCCCCCACCGCCTGCCCCGGGACTCTGCTCCCCGCCGGGCGCCCCAGGTGCGAGCCTCCCCGCGCGCCTCTGGGACCTGGAGTCCCGGCTGCCGAGCCCTGCCCGGGACTCGCTGCCCCCTGCCCTGCCCGCGGGCCCGGCGGCTGCTCTGCGGTCGCTCATCCTGCACTAGCCCTTGCCCTGGTCGGCTCGCAGCGCTGCGCACGCATCTCCAGATGCGGCGGGTGGAGACTGCAGTCGCCCGCCCTCGGGGGGGACGCACGAACCGGGCTGGGGGGCTCGAACAGGCCCTCTGGCCTCCCGGGGCCAGGCCGCGGGGACTGGGCTCCGGTGGCGGGGCGCAGTGGGATCGCAGAGCCAGGAGTCCACCCATCCCTGGGGCAGCCCACGGGGACTCCCGGGAGGAAGTGGTCTGGTCCAGCTGCGCCCCGAGAGACGAAGAGAAGGCTAGGGAGACGCGAGTGCGCAGCGCGGAGAATCCTCGGAAGCGAAGGGGGTCAAGGAGACGAGGAGCAGCCGGAGGAGTGCGGGGGTGGGGTGGGGGGGGGGAGCACGGAAGGGGTGCGGGAAGCCCCAGCAAGGAAGGGAATTAGAGAGGAGGCGCCCGGAGGCGTGGCATGGGCTGGCCTCGGGACTAGGTGGACAGACAAGCCCCGGGCATTGGACAGCCTCGATTGGAGTGAGGAAGCGGAGCGCCCGTGTAGACAGTATTTTCTAAAAGTTCTGTTCAATTGAGGAGAACGTGTAGATGCTGGAGAGGAATGTGGAAAGCGTTTTAAAGCACCGCGTGTGGTTAGAACACAGGGATCCGGAGTCCCCATTTAGTATCTGTGAGCCCTTGGGCAAGTCACTCAACTTCTTGGAGCCTCAGTAAAGTGGGGATGAAGGTGACAATACCTGCCTCATAGGGTTCAGGTGAAGATGAGATGAGATGTGCCTGTAAAAACACTTAACACGGGCACCTGCTACTTCTCACTTTTAATCATTAGAGCAGCTTGGTTATATGTTGAGGCCAATAGGAAGGAGCTGGGAGGCAGTGAAGGCAGAGGAGAGAGAAAGGGACCCAAGAACTTGGGCAGAGAGAGAAATCTGGGATGCCTGTGCCTAACCAGGGGAAGGAGGGAACAGTTGGGGATGCAGAGAAGTTGGCAGGTTTGGGGTGTATGGTTAAGTGAGTGGCTTTTGGACAGTCTTTCTCTGAAGCAACCTTCAAAGTCATTTGCTGAAAGGGCCAGGCCAGGGCTGGCCCAGGTGAAGCTGGAGAACCTGATTTCCACTGCAGCAGTAGTGAAGGATGCCTTGCCCTTTTTGCCAGCAACCCCTGGCAGACTCAGCATCGTTCCAGGGAAAGTGGGCAGTTGAATTTACTAGACTCAGAGGATAACATCTGACCTACCTTGCCCACTTGTGAGGCTCAACTAAAGTTGATGAATGTGAAAGCACTATATATATAAGCATAATTTACCATTTTAATCTTTTATCCTGATCTTGAGGAGCTGGAAGGGCCACGCCATCAATACCAAAGCCTTCTGAGCACTTGACTTGCGCTGTGCACCATGCCACACTTTCACCCACAATCTCATCTGGTTATTTCGACAGTCAGGTGAGGCAGGTATTAATATTATCCCCATTTTGCAGATGCAGAAACTGAGGTGCAGAGCAGTTACTGACCTTGCCCCAGGACCCAGAGCTAGTGAGTGTTGGACTCAGGACCCCAACTGAGATCTGTCAGACCTCAAAGCCCGTGATTTGAAACTGCTGTGAAAGTTGGCATGAGCTCTAATAGCAGCCCGCGGGACAGAAAGATGTGGAGGGATTGACTGTCTTTTCCATGGGTGCTGCCCTCAGTCGCCCCGTCATGTCCGACTCTTTGTGACCCCATGGACTGCAGGCCACCAGGCTCCTCTGTCCATGGGGTTCTCCAGGCAAGAACACTGGAGTGGGTTGCCATGCCCTCCTCCAGGGAATCCTCCCAACCCAGGGGTCGAACCCAGGTCTCCCGTATTGCAGGTGGCTTCTTGTCCGTCTGAGCCCCCGGGGAAGCCCATCTTTTCCATTTGATAGATGAGAAAACAGAGGCTAGAAGCTCAGACCTCCGTCCTGGGCTCTGCAGGCTCCACGCTGCCTTGCTCTCGCCTCTCCTGAATGGGAGGAAGAACACAGAGCTTGGAGTCGCACAGACCTGGCCCTGATCGTACTCTGCCACGGGTGCAGTGTGACTTCAGACCAGGCATCTTGCTTCTCTGTGCCTTTACGTGCCTGCGAAATTCCCAACAGCTGGCTCTAAGGAATGTTGCCCAGGGCACAGGAGGTGTGCCAGGAGCCATGCTTCCTACACTGCCGAGGATCTGCCTCCCACTTGACTGCTGAGACCAAGTCTCCATGACCTTCTATTTATTTAGACCTTTGTTCTCCTCAGTGCCAGGAAGTGGTGGTGCCTGACCCGAGTCTGTGGCCACCTATGATTTCCTGAGTGGGGCCGTGGGGGTAGGGCCCTGAGCAGTCCATGGTGTCATCACCATGCTGATGAAGAATGCCCCGGGCAGGGCTGGGGCCATCAGGGGCCTTCCTGCTGCCCCTGGTTACCTTGGCCATGGGGCCCTGGAATTTTAGTGCCCACAGAAGGCTTGGAGACGCCCTGTTGCAATTCCTTTTTTAATTTTTTACAGACAGGGTAACCGAGACCCACTGTGAGGAAGTGACTTTCACCTCCTCTGGATGGGGCAGAGCTCATACGCATGGAACTTTCATTTTTGGACCTGCCTCCAGAACCCTGGGGATTTCCGCTGGAGTGGTAATCACCCCCACCGAGAATCCCAGACTGCTCGGAAGGCCCAGGGAATATAGACGAGTCAGGGACTGGAGCTCTCTCTGCCCCTGACCCTGGGGAGGAGGTGGAGGAAGCCAGTGGCAGCCTGAGGTCCCCCCAACAGGGGAAACTCTGAACTGCCGTCCCTGAAAGTCCGCGATGCGGTTCTTCTCTCTGTCTGACTTGCTCTTCACCTCCCTCTCACTCGAAAGAATGACTGGACGCTCCTGGAGCCTGCAGTCACCATCCAGGGGATTTTTTGCACCACAAAGGGTAATTCCTGTCTCATCCCTGCTGTGACTCAGCGGTGACGTCGAACCATACAAGCCAGCGAGAAGATAAAGGCATCAGCCGCCGGTGTATCAGAGCGGGTGGCCCAGCAGAGCACACCTCTTCTCCCAGCACAGACCGCGGGGCTGGGCCCCTGCCCCGAGGAGCTTGGACCAGGCCCTCCACCCCCGGGCCCGCCTGGGACCCCGGGATGGCCTCTGGCTCGGCCAGCAGCCCCCGCCCGGCCCCGGATGAGAATGAGTTCCCCTTTGGGTGCCCCCCCACCGCCTGCCAGGACCCCCCAGAGCCCGGGCCTGTCGGCTGCGACGTCTGTCTCTCTGAGAACGCGAGGTGAGGGGTCGGAGGAGAAGGGGTGGGTGGGGAGGAGGCGCCGGGGAGGGACTCCTGATGGGAGGCGAGGGCGAGAGGACCCCTGGCTCTCAGGCAGGTGCCTGCATCTCTCTGTCCTCAGCTTCCCCGATACCACCCCGTCTGACTTCTAGCGGAAGGAGGAGACAGAGAAAGCCCTCCGCACCCTCTGCAGAAGGCCGTCGAGGGAGGCAGAGCCTCTGAGCCCACCTGGGCTAACTCACTTACTATGTGGCTTGTGCGCATGGCTTAACGTCCCAAAACCTCAGCGCCCTTGTCAATAAAATGCCTGTAAAGTGATTTTCTACCTCCCAGGATTGTTACAAGGCCCAATCAGTAACATTCCAAAAGATTCTTATAATAGGGAATTTATCTGTAAACTCCTGGGTAAATGACAAACTGCTGTACAGATGTATCTCCTTCCACAGTCTCACCCATCATCTCAGACTGCTGAGAACTCTTCTAAAGGGGACAAAAGTATCTAGTATATTATTGTATGTTCATGTATTATATATTTATATGTGTATATTGTCCTTGTTCAGCTGCTAAGTCATGTCCAACTCTTTGCGACCTCATGGACTGCACCACACCAGGCTTCCCTGTCCTTCACAATCTCCTATATATTTGTATATACATACCTTTATATTTTATATTGTATACAAATACCTTTATATTTCCCTGGTGGCTCAGAAGGTTAAGAATCTGCCTGCAGTGCAGGAGACCCGGTTTCGATCCCTGGGTTGGGAAGGTCCCCTGGAGAAGGGCCTGGCAACCCACTCCAGTATTCTTGCCCAGAGAATCCCATGGACAGAGGAGCTTGGTGGGCTACGGTCATGGGGTTGTGAAGAGTCAGATGCAATTGAGCAACGAACACATCTTTATATATAATACATGCTTTTGGCATACGTATAAAAATATACATATATAACATACACCATATAAAGTGTGTATATTATATTTATAAATAATTCAGAGAGGTGTGACATCAATATGAGCATCAGTATCCCACCTTATTATGCAAGTATTATGTACCAACTGTGTGCCAGACAGTCTTCAGAAGAGCCTTGGAAAGGTGGACACTGTTATCCTATGAGGACAACGAGGCCTAATGGAGAGATGAGGTCAGTTTCCTGGCAGAGGTGTTCTTAAACTGCCATGCACCCCCAGTGTGACCTTTGCTGGGGACTTTACAGGTTAGGGAGGTGGGAAACTTCTGAGGCAAACTTGAGAGGTTCAAATGCTTTGACACAGGAGAAGGCTGAGAGAAAGAGAAGAGAGAGGTGATGGTAGAAAGGGCAGATGGGGCGGGGAGCTGAGCTTGACTGGTCTCACCATCCTGGGCTCGCCTCAGGCTTTTGCAGTGTGGCTTGTGGTTTCCTTACCTCTTCTTCCAAAACGTGGCAGGGGCAGGGAAGTGTTCCAGACGCAGGTCTGGCCTGCGTCTCTCTACCTCAGCCCACCCCTACGTCCTCTGAGGCCTCGTTCTCCTCCCTGTGAAATGGGCCTGACCTGGGGTACTCGCTGGGGGTCAGATCACTTTGCAAAAGCATGTAGGCCCATGTGTCATCTCATTCAGAATCTGACACCCACTTCCTGGTTAGGCATCTCAGGCTGGACGTTCTTGGAGGCCCCTTCTTATTCTGAGAGGCCGTAGTCATCTTTAATTACTAAAAATAAGAGACTAGAATAAAACAGAGGAATCTGCAAAGAACTAATATAGTACACACCCACAATCCCTTATCTGAACCCCTAGGGTCGGATGTATTGTGGAATGAAAAAGTGTTTCAGATTTTTGAAAAACCACTCAGTACTACTCTGTAATTTTTCCAGCAGGGATTGGGGACATACCTTATATTCAAACATCAAGCAGTGATATTTCTGCAAATATAAATATTCATACTAAGTGGGATAAGACAGGTCTAATAGCCTGGTCAGTACAAATCAGGTTTGGCTGCCAGAGAAGCTCACTGCAAGCTATGGGAAAATGTTGGGTGCCCAGTGTTTTTGAGGTTTGGGAATGGTGGGTCTGGGATGGAGCTATATGCTCATGGGTCTCAGCTGCCATGCCGGGCAAGGCCCGGGCCTTTGGGGCTCTGGGGTGGAGGTTGGTGTCATGGAGTCTCAACGGCTTTGCTCAGTGGCATTTCTGCTTGTGTTCCCAGGAATGGTGAGGATCGGATCTGTCCCAAATGCAAAGGGGAAGACACCCCGTCTGAAAGTCCAGGAAGCCTTCTGTCTCAGGAGAAGGTAAGCTGGCGCTGCCGGGGAGGATTGCCCGTTGTCTCTGCTGACAGGCAGCTCCCCGCTTGTCCTGAGTCTAGGCTGAATTCCGTCTGTTGGTGGCGAGGAGACTGGTGTTCACAGTGGGAAAGCCGCTTGTCCCACGCCACCTGGCTGACCCGTGGCAGGTTCAGGCTGAGAGTGGCTGTCTATTCGGGGATCCACACACCACGGCCTTCGGGCCCGGCCCAGCCTGCTGCCTATTTGTAAGCTCACGAGCTGAGAATGGTTTTTACACTTAAAGGGTTTTCAAAAGTCAGCAGGGGAATGAGATTCTATGACATGTGAAAATGATCCAGACTTCAAACTTCCAGATCCCTGAATAGAGTTGGACTGGTTCACAGCCACAGTTCAGTCATGTATGTCTTATGCGTGGCCTCTTTGGCCCCGAGATTGCAGAGGTGAACAGTTGTAACAGAGGCCTTCCAGCCCCCAAATATTCACTCTCTGGCTCTTTCCAGAAAGAGTTTGCCAACTCCTGGTGCAGACAGCTCTTTCTGACCCTGTTTGCTCTCAGACTGGGTCAGGCCAGCCTCAGCTCACTTCTCCGGCTTCCCCAAGCTGTGCTTCCCAGGAGTAAGAGGGGCAAAACAACATCCTCAGGCACCGTTTAGAGCCCTGGCCCTTCTGAGCTGGAAAGACCCTTGTGGGTCATCTGTCCAGCCCAGAGGTGCCCACAAGGCAACCAACCGTGGTTTGTTCCCAAACCAGTTCGGGACAAAAATGGTTAAAAAAAGAAAGAAAGAAAGAAAATTGTCATGACTTTTTCTTACAAAACTAAATTCTTTCCATTTATAGAATCACCCTTTACTCTGAGACGATGCCCTTCCCATGTGCATCTTTGTATAAAGGAAATGATCATGATAGATGATAGAATTGGGGGTAAAGCCTTTTTTGGGGTAAAATTAAAAAACAACAGTGTTTATGTTGATCTCCTAGTTTAAGAAGCAAACAAAGCTGGTACTGGTCTGTGAATCCAGAGCTTTAGGAACCCAGGCTCTAAATCTGACCCCCTTTTCTTACACATGGGGCCCAGACACTCACTGGGGATTCTCACCGCAAAGCTCCCCAGTGACCACGGTCTCCCCAGCTCCACACCTGAGCTGGCCACACTGCGAGGCGTCCAGCTCCTTTGGACCAAAGCTGTACCCTTGACCAAATCGTGGCCCTGGGTGAGGGTAGGGGGGATCAGGAGCCTGGTGTCAAGGATGACACGGCTGAGATGGCTGCTGTGTGTCTGCCTGTGAAATGAAGACGCTGCCTTACTGCTAAGTCACTTCAGTCGTGTCCGACTCTGTGCAACCCCGTCCCTGGGATTCTCCAGGCAAGAACACTGCAGTGGGTTGCCATTTCCTTCTCCAATGCATGAAAGTGAAAAATGAAAGTGAAGTCGCTCAGCCATGTCCGACTCTTCGCAACCCCATGGACTGCAGCCTACCGGGCTCCTCCGTCCATGGGATTTTCCAGGCAAGAGCACTGGAGTGGCTTGGACAGGGCCTTTTCAGTACTGGCGATGTCCCATTGCCGGTCACTGTCTGTCGGGGCTCTCTCCCTCCCGCTGTGGAACGAGAGGCAGGCAGGTCTCCATGCCTCCTCCCCCTTCTCCGCTTCAGCCCCCTCTCCTCCAGAGAGTCAGGGGGACGTCTGTCCCACCAGAGCTGGTTTTGAGGGCTTTCCTCTCTTCTCTTCAGCAGCCCTCTCCCCCACAGACCCTCAAGGGAACCATAATAAGGATCTAGTGCATTTTCCCGGAACTTTATACTCTACCACATGGTAGAGCTAATAGGATTAACACTGCTGGAATAACTTCCCAAACCTCCCTAATAGGGTATCTCTGTGTTCACTGGACCTTCGTGCTCCCCCCTCCAAAGGGAAGGATAGGCTATCTGCTTCCTAAGGCAACTAGCTGCCTGAAGGTATCAGGATGTTTGTTTCTGGTTTGCTTTAGTCTTGCCTCTGAACAGAATGAATCCAGATTCATTGTGTAAATCTTAGATAATATAAAGCAGAGATATTTTAATATCTCCCAATTCAGTAGTTCTAATTTTTTCATCTTTGTCAGTGTGAAATCAGATGAAAGCAGAAGGGGAGCCTGGACCTCTGGCCCTGCGGTTACCCCACTGCTTTCTCCTGCCCCAGCCCCCAGAGACTCTGGATTCCTAGGGCCCTGCAGGGTGCACTTTGAAACTCGATGCCTTTGACCAAGTGGAGTGACTCTAATGATGGAGTTACAGGCGCTCAGCAGGCTACAGCGTTGGGGGGGGGGTGCACCCCCGTGGAAAGCTGGGGGGCGGTGTGAGCCAGTGGTCTGACACCTGCACAAAGCCACAAGTGGAAAGACCAGGGACTCCACCAGTTCCTGACCCAGTGGGAACTTTGGGGGGACTTTTGACCAAAGGAAAGCAGCTGATGACAAATCAACACTTTGCACACACGGCGGGTCCAAGTCTGTGCATCTGAGGAAACCTGGGAAGTGGAGGTGGGGTGAGGGGCTGGGCCGGAAGCCGGCTGCGCTACGCCCTGAGGTGCCCGTCCTTGCGACCCTCTCTGCGCCACCTGCTCATGTTTGTCCTTCTCCTCTGGCTTCGTTAGAGATGTGTCCCTCCGAGGAGCGCTCAGAGCCCTGGACTGATTAGCTCGTGTCAGAAGCAGATATGAAAGGGTGATTGTTGACCCAGGTGGGGACTTGGTTCTGGCCTGGAATGACCTTCCTACAGGAGTGACAGTGAGAGGCGGGGACTGCCTGGCTGCTGGGAAATAGCAGTCAGTCCTGCCTGCCGCAGGCCCCGGGAACCGGGCTGTTGATCTTGTCTCTTCCCTCTGAGGCCACTCGGGAAGGTCCAAAGCAGGCTGACCCCTGCTGCCAATGGCTTACAAGAATGCCTCAAATTACCCTAGAATCTGAAAACGATCGGAGATTGAGCTGTCTGGTCCCATTTCCGTTCTATACTGGATTCCTGCCAAGTGGCTTGGTGTCCCTTCAGTGACGGGCAGCTCATCACTGCACAAAACCACCATGAGGAACTAACTACTGTGCCATTGTCCGCTCCCTTTGTTCTGAGCTGACGTCTGTCTCCCTCGGGGCCGCAAAAGGCAAGGCAGTCAGCCCCCTGCGCCCTGAGGCCGTCCTGCGTCTGTGGGAGGACGCTGACCACGTCCCTCTCGAGTCCGTCCTCAGCCTCCACGCCTCTCTGTGTCTGTTGAAACCCGGCCCCTGGAAATGAGCTGGAAAATGAGCCCCTCGCACTTCTGAGCTTGGCGGTTGCATCTGTGACCCCATCTGTCCTGTGACAGCCTGTGTCGTGGGCGGTGGCGATTCCAGTGGGTGACCTATGGAGGCTCGGGGAGGAGGTGTGCCTGCACCAGCCTTACCGCAACGGGGAGCCAGAGCCAGGCTCCCTCTTCCTGCCCCCGGGACTCCCGGCACCTCTCTGCTGCCTCCAGAGGGGGGATCACCCCAAGTGTTTTGTTTACACAGGTTTAAATACCCAGTCAGCCTAAGTGCTGGAATCCAGCAACGCTGTGAAAACAGGAATGGGCAAGACTCCTTTCGACAAGGAGAATCAGGCAGGACTTCCTGGAGGAGGTGGCAGTTGAGCCGAGCAGAGGTCGCCAGGAAGGAAAATGTCTCAGATACAGAGGAGGGTAGGAGCTGGCAGGTGGACCAGGCCACCCTGTCCTGGTGGAGCGCCTCTCCCTCAGCACTAGCTGAGACCCACGCAAAAACACCCCGCCCAGCCCTCAAAGACCTTGGCCAGCCTCTGTGCCCAGCACAGCAGGGTGGGCAGTGCCCGGCACATTGCAGGCGCCTCTGTTCTGTGCGGTGGCTTCACCGAGGCTTCTCCCATGCCCCCAGTATCCTCTTAACACCCCCCCAATCAGAGGCCCCCAGGTCCTCAAGTGGAGGCCCCCCGACAGCCCTCCGCTGACCCCGTCACAAAGGGCCTGGGTCAGTAGGCAGCCGGGAACACCACACGCCCCCGACTTCTCGGACGTGGACAGAAGGACAAGTGTTCGCTCAGGACTGGGATTGTGTTTTCTCTGTTTCCTCCTCAGAGGAAATTCCACCGCAAGTTTTATTTTTAGCGGTTTGCCAGCCATGAGGCAGCTCACACAGGGCTGCTTGTGGCACTGGCTTGGCCCAGGACGGATGCCCTGTTCTTCCCCCGCAGCCCCAGCTGGCTAGCGCCCTGGGTCCCTGCCTTCAGATGAGCCACCCCTCTTTCCCGGGGGCGGGGGAAGGGCCCTGGACGTGGATCCCAGGCACCTGGCCCCCACCACGGCTTTGCCCCAAACTTGCATTGTCTCCTATAAGTCAGTGGCCTTCCCTGACCTTCAGCTTCGTCACCTCCATGAGAGAGGCAGAACTTCAGAGCCCCAACCTCTTCCGGGCGGTCCTGGGAGACCCAGCAGGGCTGTGGTCACATGGGGGCGGAGAAGGGCTCGTGCCTGCAGGACAGCGGGCTCCTCACTTGTACAAGCTCCGCGTGACCCAGACTGAGCCACTCGCCCGGGTCTCCCACGTGTGTTCAGGTGAAACCAGCTCCGCCTTGCCCGCCTTGAAGGATTACTGCAGGGATCCTAGGAGGTAGTTTGCAAAAATGCTTTGGTCCTGTGTAAATACACGTGCACGTAGGGATGGTCCTCACGTCTGCCAGCCCCTGAGGAAATCCAGTGGGGAAAGCAGGGTTTTATAGAATGACTGTGAGTTTGAGGTGTGAAGATTCAGTGAGGTGCATGCATGTGACAGCCATTAGGGGGAGGAAAAGATGTCCCAAGGGCAGTGCTTCATCCACAGGAATAATTACGGTAATAGCAGGTCCGCTACTGCTCATCAGGGCTAAACTGAGTGTGTGTAAGGCAGAATCATGCTCCCCAAAGCCGCCACGTGTTAATCCCCGGGACCTGTGAATAAGTCACCTTACGCGACTGCATTAGTCTGCTCGGGCTGCGGTAACAAGGGACCACAGACTGGTCGGTGGAAACAACAGAGATTGATCTCCTCGCAGTTCCGGAGGCAAGTTCAGGCCGCGTCGGTTTCTTCCGAGGCCTCTCTCCTTGGCCGGTGGATGCCGTCTTCTCCCGGCGTCTTCGCATCCTCTTCCCTCTGAAAGTCTGTGCCCTGTTTCCTGTTCTTGTAAGGACCCCCGTCACACTGGAGCAGGGCCCCTCCCAGTGACCTCATTCTAACTTAATCACCTCTTTAAAGACCACATCTCCGGGGACTTCCCAGGTAATCCAGTGGTTAAGACTCAGAGCTCCCAATGCAGGGGACACAGCTTCAATCCCTGGTCGTGGAACTAATAAGAGCCCACAGCCAAAAAACTAAGAACTAGGATCATGCAGCCAAAAACTAAAGCAATTTAATTTAATGTAATTTATTAAAAAAGAAAAAATACCCTGTCTCCAAACACCGCCACGTCCAGGGGGATTAGGACTTCCACATGAGGATTTGGGGTGGGAGAGACTGCTCAGGCTTCCCAAGTGTCCCTAGGGCTGAAGAACCTGCCTGCCAGTGCAGGAGACATAAGGGCCCCAGGTTCAGTCCCTGGGTGGGGAAGATGCCCTGGAGGAGGGCATGGCAACCCACTCCAGTGTTCTTGCCTGGAGACTCCCATGGTCAGAGGAGCCTGGTGGGCTACAGTTCATAGGGTCACGAACAGACAAACACCACTGAAGCGACTTACTACACACACGCACGGACACCGCTCTGCCCATGACAACGGGAAAAGGGTCTTTGTGCTTTGCAGATGTTACTAAGTTAAGGATCTTGTGATGGGGAGATGACTCTGGGTGCTTGGTGAGCTCATTGTAATCACAAGGGTCCTCAAGAGAGGAAGACAAGAGAGGCAGAATCAGAGAGAAGCTGGAAGATGCTCCGCTGCTGGCTCTGACTCTGGAGGGAGGGACCATGAGCCCAGGAACGCAGGCAGCCTCTGGAAGCTGGAAAAGACCAGAAAACAGGTTCTCCCCTCTGGTCTCCAGAAGGAACACAGTCCTGCTGACACCTTGATGTTAGGACTTCTGATTGCCAGAACCGTAAGACAATAAATGTGGGTTGTTTAAGCCATTAAGTTTGTGGTATTTTATTATAACAGAATAGGTCACTCGTATCAGAATTTACAGGTATTATGGCATTTAATCCTCACCATAACTCTATGGCGGGGAGGGGAGGGTGGTACGTTCTATTATTGTCTTCATTTTCCAGATTGGGAAACTGAAACGTGGGGGAGTTAGTGAGTCCCCCAGGACCACACAGCTAAGTAGGTGAACTGACAGAAATGGGCTTTGCACCCCAACAGGACGGCTCCAGAGCCAACCTCTGTAAGCACCGCAAGGAATGAGAGACCGAGCGACTGATGGTGGCTCTCTGAGCCGTCCGGCTGGCCCCCAGCCGCGTCTCCTCTGCCTGCTGTGGGCAACTGGTCCCCAGCCACCTCTCCTCTGCCTGCTGGGAGCGGCTGGCCCCAGCCGCCTCCGCCACACGTGGTAACAGGGAGGCCTGCTCCGTGCACACGCGCTTACCCGTCTGCGGGGGCTTTCACTGCACAGACACAGCATTGCGAGGCTCAGCCGCCAGAGGAGTGCGCGCCCCGCCACCCGTGCGATTCTGGAACCCCACCGCTAGTCTTCTCTCATCTGCTTACCTCCCTCTGCCTCTCACTTTGAGCGCAGCAGACTCTTAAAGCCGCAGAGGATTCGCATCGCGGGCTTGGAGGGAGTTGCAGGGCCTGAGCGGTCACCCCTCATCCATCACCAGGTCCTCATCCACCTCGGGTCCTCCACCCTCCCCGCACATCAGGGAGCTACCTGCTGGGAGAAGCTGCATCACAGGGCACTCTGCAAAACCCGCCTGGTCTCCCTGCCAAGGCTGCCTCCCTCCCGGAAAACATCTGTTTTCTGTTCCTGGTTGGGAACATCTTGTGCCTGGAGCCTGAGGCCGTGGGGCACCGCTGTGCTGGGTGTGCTCTGCGTTCCAGTCCAGCTGTCTCATGAAGCCCACAGCTCTAGCTGTTTTAACTTTTACAGAATGATGACTAGTGTGACTTTGTATTTGCTCAGCCCAAAGACTTCTGCCCTCCCCTCCTCCCGTCCAGATCTCCCCTCACGTCACCCCGAGAGGTGATTCTTAAAAACAACGACAAAGCTCTTGGAAAGTCAAGATATTATTTATGTGTAATAAAATTCACTCATTTTAAGTGTACAGATTGATGGATGCCGGTAAATATCTGCAATCGTGTGACCTGCAGTGAAGAACATGAATGTTTCTGCACCAGATAAAAGCTCCCTTGTGCCTCTGGCTCGTCAGTCTCCCCCAGCTGCAGCTCCAGACAGCCACTGATCTACTTTCTGTTCATGGTTTGGCCTTTTCTAGAATCTCATGAGAGTGAAATCCTAGGGACTTCCCTGATGGGCCAGTGGTTCAGACTCCGCACTTCCAATGCAGGGGGCACAGGTTTGATCCCTGGTCGGGCACCTGCGATCCCACATGCTGCATGGTGAAGCCAAAAAAATTTGTTTTTAATATCAGAAGAAAAACTTAACTTGGAACAGATTTCTAGTATGCGGTCTTCCGTGTTTGGCTCTTCATTTGGCAGAATGTTTCCAGGCCCCTCTGTTATCGCACACGTCAGTAATTTCGTCCACCCAGTTGCTGAGCAGTAAGTGTCCTCAGGTGGGGACACAGCGCGCTGTTCACCCGTCTACCAGCAGATGGAACCTGGATGTCCTCCGGCGCGGGCCTGTTATGAGCAAAGTTGCCTGGACATTTGCATACACACACGGAAACATTTTCAGTTTCTCTTGGGTAAATCCCTAGGAGTGGAATGTGCGGGTTATCTGCTAGCTTGGTAAGCATGGTCTGTAAGTTACTTTATGATTTCACTTTATGAGATACTTGCATAGTTTGTCCCAAAGCATCCGTACCGTTTTGTATTCCCGTGAGCGACCTACAAGCGTTTTTCAGTTCCTCCACATTCTCCCCAAAGCTTGGTATTGCCATTCTTTTTAAATGTTAGCCATTTAGTGAGCGAACAGTGGCATTTTATAACAGTTTGCATTTCTCTGATGACTGCTGATGATGAACTTACTTTCATAGGTTTGTCATTTATGTCTCTCCTTTCATGAAGTATCTGTTCAGTATTTTACCCATTTTGTGTTAGGCTGTCTGTCTTATTATTGAATTGTAAGAGTTCTTTATATATTCTGTATATAAGGCCTTTATAGATATATGTTTTAGAAAAAAAAAAGTGTCCTCCCAGTCTCTCCTGGGTTTACTTTTAGTAAGAGACAGAGGTGGCATCACCAACTCAATGGACATGAGTTTGAGCAAATTCTGGGAGATAGTGAAGGACAGGGAAGCCTGGCGTGCCGCAGTGCGTGGGGTCAGAACGAGTCCGACACGGCTTAGCGGCTGAGCAACAAGAGACAGGGGGTGGGAAGGGCCCTGGAGCTCTGCTGCTTCCTGGCTGTTCCTCCTAGAGTAAATCCCTTCCCCTCCGTGAGCCTCAGTTTCTTCATCAATCAAATGGGAACAGAAAACCTACCCTGCCATCCCCAAGTGTTGTTTGGGGCCCTTGGGAGAACTATGACCACGAAAGCCATTTTCCAAACTCCTCAGACCTACACATAGGTGGACAGCACTGCCAAGTCGCTTGTTTGGGACCCTCGGGGAGCTCCCAGACCAGTGGGGGCAACCAAAGAGTGAGTTGGGAGGAACCCGTCCCGGCAAGAGGGGTGGCGTGCTCCCAGGATCACAGCAGGAGCTCTGGTCTCACTTTGAAGGAGGGTCACAGAAGGGCTGAAGCGTGAAGGGTGGGAAGAAATCAGCCAGGCAGAACAAAGAGCGTGTGCAAAGCTTTGTGGCCCAGCCCAGCCCCTGCCTGGTGGGTATCGGTGCTTCACAGACTCCCCAGTGCTACCGGGACCCCCGCAACGTCCAGTGACGTGGTTCTTATTTCCAGGATCGCCCCGAGGTGGCTGAGGCTGGAGTTGGGTGCCCCTTTGCAGGTGTTGGCTGCTCCTTCAAGGTAAGTATCTAGGTGAGAGAAAGGAGGTCTGTACACTGCAGTCTCAGACCTCCTCACTCAGCCTCTCGGGTTTTCCCCCAACATCCAGCTGCTGCTCTGGATGTGCCTTATGTGGCTTACAAGCCACAAAATCACTAGTAAATCATCTTTGTGCTCAGGGGAGTTCTTCTTAATGTCTCACTTGAGCATTGCAGTGGCATCACAAAAAAGACCCTCCCCTCCCCACTGCCCCCAACCACTGTGCCTCTCTCCATGGTCCTGAATCATGAGTGGGCTCGAGGGCAGGACAGAACTGTTGCTCTGGAAGATGGAGTGCACGTGGCTCGCCATGGGCGTGTCTAAGGCCAGAGCCCTTCTCCACATCCCTCTTGCTGTGAACTTCCCATTGCTGGGTGAATGGATGTGACCTCCCTTGGTAACCGCTGATGGCAGGGCTCTCCTTGGCTCCCTGGTGCTCCCTACCCCTCCTCAGTTTTCGCTGATCAGCCCCACTGTCTCGGCAGGGAAGCCCAAAGTTCATGGAGGAGCATGAGGTCACCTCCCAGGCTGCCCACCTGAACCTGCTGTTGGGGTTCATGAAGCAGTGGAAGGCCCAGCTGGGCTCTGGCCTGGGGTACGGGCCCATAGCCCTGGAACGGAACCTGTCGGACCTGCAGCTGCAGGGGGCCGTGGAGGTGGCCGGGGACCTGGAGGTGGACTGCTACCGGGCCCCCTGCTCCGAGAGCCAGGAGGAGCTGGCCCTGCAGCACTTCACGAAGGAGAAGCTCCTCACGGAGCTGGAAGGGAAGCTGTGCGTGTTCGAGAACATCGTGGCCGTCCTCAACAAGGAGGTGGAGGCCTCCCACCTGGCCCTGGCCGCCTCCATCCACCAGAGCCAGCTGGATCGCGAACACATCCTGAGCCTGGAACAGAGGGTGAGCCTGGGAGGCAAGTTCACCTTCAAGGCAGTTCAGCCCCCACCCCCAGTCCCTTGCCCCATCTTGTCTCCAGAGCAAATGGACCAGCCTTCCTCCTAAGCCTTCTCCCTGCACAGACCAGCCATGCCCCCCATCGAAAATCTCTCTCCTGTGTCCTGAGACCTTCTAGGGAGAGGACTGAGGCAGAAGTGATAGTTAAACTCCCCCATCCAGCGCTTCATTTTGTTTGCTTCAGTTTCTTCTGCAATAGACTATTCCCACCCCAAGCATCTCATTCCACTGTCAGACATTTTTCATGCTCAGAAAGTTCTCCCTCATACTAAGCTAAAATTAGTCTCTCTGTCTTCCCTGCCCCTTGGGGCCCACAAAACATCTGACATCTAGCCCCCATGGAGGTTCTTCGGAGATGAGACATCATCATAATATCCTGCCTGAGTGTTTCCTTCTTTGGGCTAAACACCCCCAGCGCCTTCACACTTCATCAGAGCCCATTGTTCATGTATCCCAGCTCGGTCTCTGAAGAGCCCCACCCTCCGGCGTGGCGGTGCCAGACCAGCAGACAGTTCTTGGCTGTTACAGTCAGACTGTAACCTCCTTTGTTGCAGAGCTTAGATTTCCCTTAATATGACCAGTCACAGTGCTGTGTTGCTTCTTATGGGGCAACAATATTGCATCCCCATCTTATGTTGAACTCGGCCTGGATTTTAGTTCCAGGCCCACCATTCACTTGCTATGTAGATCTGAGCAAGTCACAGGACTGCAACTTTTTCATCCGTAAAATTAGGGATGTGATTTTCTTTAAGGATGCTCACTTCCATTCCTGACTTCCCTACCTCAGTATACCTGAGAATAAATTTGTGTTTTTTTCACATGTCAGTGGAGGAGCCTACTAGAAGAGCCAGACACTGGCTTTGAGTGACAGAGTAAAGGATTTATTTATGCAACTCTTGCCCTAGTTGGAAGGTAGTGACTGCCCACTCCCCGCAAGGGCAGAGTGACCATGTCTTCAGTTCCTTGACAAGTTTTGTGGCTCAACTCTTACATGCCAAGCACTATGCAAATCTTGTGAAAGTCACTCCTTGGAACCCCACGGACTGTAGCCCGCCAGGCACCTCTGTCCATGGACTCTCCAGACAAGAATACTGGCATAGGTTGCCACTCCCTTCTCTAGGGGATCTTCCCAACCCAAGGATCAAACCAGCATCTCCTGTGTTGCAGGCACATTCTTTACCGTCTGAGCCACATGGCCACAGATAAAATGAGCATGGTCCCAGACCATCTATCCTGTAGGAAAAGCAGAAAATATATATCTCAGACGCTTCTAAGAACAGAGAGGAAAGAGGGAAACCAGCTGAGCTAGGGCAGTGGTCGAAGACTTCCCAGAGGAAGGGTTATGTGAGCCGGATTCCTGACGGATGCATAGGAGTCGGCCAGTGGAGAAGGGAGGAAGAGGAATTCCAGGCCGGAGGGCCAGCATATGCAGAGAGAGATGCCTGCGGCCGAGGGAGGCAAGGTCAGGAAGGCCATTTGGGGAACAGCTGTATCTCTCTCTGCATCCCGCCATCGCTCCCTCACCCTCAGGCTGGGTTCTGGTGCCTCTGGCTAAATGGGCTTCCCCGCCCCAGGTGCTGGAGTTGCAGCAGACCCTGGCCCAGAAGGACCAGGCCTTGGGCAAGCTGGAGCAGAGCCTGCGCCTGATGGAGGAGGCCTCCTACGACGGCACCTTCCTGTGGAAGATCACCAACGTCTCCCGGCGTTGTCATGAGTCGGCCTGCGGCAGGACCGTCAGCCTCTTCTCCCCAGGTAACTCCCCTGGGACGGCACGCGGGGCAGGGAAGGGCACAGGCCCCTGCGGGGGAGGCAGGCCCCACGGGGCCCAGGAGACAAGCAGAGGTACGGGGCAGTCCGCTCTGACAGCCATGCCGCGTCCAGTTAGGCCCGAGTCCGTTCAGATGCCCGGCCCTGGCAGGCCCGTGGAGGTGGCAGGCTCCCCCCCGCCCCGCTGTGTGGAGCAGGGGCTGTTGGCACCAGGCTGGCCTTCTGCCTCCCTGAAGGTCAGTTACATTCTGCAGCTAGGAACAAGCCATCTCAGTTGTTTGTGTGGATGTCGGTTGGGAAAGAGAGTGAGCTGTGAACCCGTCTGTGCAGACTTGAGGCAAGTGGAGGATGGCTTTCACAGGAGACCCAGTGACCTGAAATCAGACAAGGGGAGATCTAGGTGAAACCACAGGCATCTGTGTACAGTTGTGGGGAGCATGTGAGTGAGTATTGTGTAAATCAGGGCAGTTTTTACTCATTTCTGGGACCCCGGGACCTGGCACAATGTCTTACGTAAAGGGGGCGGTTACTCGGTTGACGTCTCTCTTCATTAGCTGAGACCTGCTTCTGTAACGCTCTGCATGTTTGTGCTCAGACCTCTGCTTTTCCCCTTGCCTCCCTCGTGTGCATCTAAGAAAAATGGGTGGGTTGTTAAGGAGGATTTCTGCAGAAGGCAGTTTTAACCACCACTCACGTCTGCTCCAACTTCACGCCTTTCCTGTCTGTCAGCTACTCTGACTCACCCAAGGCCAACAGCGCTAGGATTAAGAGGGGGCATGGGAGTCTGCCCCATCCCACAGGGCAGGTGGGCCCCCAAGCCAGGCCCCTTGCCTCGGGAACCGGGGCAGCTCCTTCATGGGGTGGCCTTGCTCTCTACACGCAAGCTTTTTGTCCTGGCTGCTTTCCAAAGAGGGAAAAAGCAAGCAGTGTCTCTGACTTCCTGTTCTACCAAAGCACAGAGGGCAGAGATGAGTCAGACCGTCAGCCTGTCCCCGCTCCACGCCTTCCTGCCCTGCACACCCTGTCCCCGAGCTGCCCCTCCCAGACGGCCCCCCATGGGGACAGCCGCTGGAGCCCACAGCCAGATGGCTCTCTCAGCTGCCCAGGGCGAGAGCCCACGGGCCCTGCACCTAACCACCAGGGGATGGTTCATCCCAGGGGCCTGTGTCAAGGATAGCTGGCAGAACTGTGAGCCGCCCCACTCCCCCCCAGCCCCCAGGAGACCCCAGCCACTTAGCCTGGGGCCGCAGAAAGAGCTGCGTGTTGGGACTTAGGAGGCCGGGCCCTTCGCTCTGGCCCTGACCCCAGCTCACTGTGACTTTGTGGGCCGGCCACTTCCCCTTGCTGGGCTCCGGCTCCTGACTGCAAAACACAGATCGGTTAAATCGGGAGTGGTGGGGCCAGCAGCGCCTCTGTCCCCTGTCAGAAACGTGAATTCTCAGTCCTCACCCCGCACTGCTGAGTCAGAAGCTCCAGCCCTGGGGCCTGGCAGTCTGCGATCCTGATGGCCCTTGACATCCAGCGGGCCAGGTGTTCCCCAAGGTTTAATGCTCTATGTTTTCGTTTATTGTCGAGTCGCTAAGTCATGTCCAATTCTTTTGTAACCCCATGGACTGTAGCCCGCCAGGCTCCTCTGTCTGTAGAATTTCCCAGGCAAGAACACTGGAGAGGGTTGCCACGTCCTTCTCCAGGGGATCTTCCCGACCCAGGGCTTGAAGCCACGTCTCCTGCCTTGCAGGCAGATTTTAGCACTGAGCCACTGGGGACGGCCCCTGATGCTCTATGGTGAAGAAGCAGCTCCAATCCCAGATGTCACAGTCTGGGGCCACTACCCAGGCCAGCCCCAGTTCCCTCATCTGCAAAGTCTAGCACTTGCCAGCTGCCCTGGTGATGACTCTGGCTTCTGCGTTTCAGCTTTCTACACCGCCAAGTATGGATACAAGTTGTGCCTGCGGCTCTACCTGAACGGGGATGGGACGGGGAAGAGGACCCACCTGTCCCTCTTCATCGTGATCATGAGAGGGGAATACGACGCTCTGCTGTCATGGCCTTTCAGGAACAAGGTACGGGCGGGCCCGGGCAATGGGGGGCTGCTTCGGGTGGAGGAGACCTGGGTCCTGGCCCTGGTCTAGCCTGAACTCACCTGTGTGATCTCGGAGGGCCCTTCACCCTCTGTTACCAGTTTCCCCGCTTGTGAAACAAGAGCCTGAGTTCCCCTCTAGCAGCCAAGGCTGCTGCTTGCTTGAGCCCAGGAGCTAAAGCGCCTGGGCCAGCAGCCCTGGGAGGCATGTAGAGACGGAGCTCACACGGCGGGGCGAATAAAGAGAGCTTCCTGTAGGAGATGCTGTGGGTCTAGGCTGCAACAGCAGCACTCTCAGAAAAAGGCAGGGAGGCAGATGCCACCATATCCCTTTAAGAATGGCCCAAATCCTCAATACTGACAACACCAAGTGTCGGCAAGGATGTGGAGCTGGTGGGAATATGAAACTGTGCGGCCACTTTGGATGAAGTTCTGGCAGTTTCTCACAAAACTAAACATACTCTTACCACGTGCCCCAGAGATCACACTCCTTGGCATTTACTCAAATGAGCTGAAAACTTAAGTCCCCCCAAAACCCTGCAGACAGATATTGGTAGCACCTTTATTCATAACTGCCAAAACTCAGAAGCAGCCAAGATGTCCTTCAAGGTGAATGCACAGATAAACTGTGGTCCATCTAGGCAATAGAGTATTATTTAGCACTCCAAAGAAATAAGCTAGGGAGCCATGAAAAGATACAGAGGAACCTTAAATGCATGTTTAAGTGAAAGAAGCCAATCTGAAGAAGCTACATACTGTATGATTCCAGTTACATGATATTCTGCAAAAGGCAAACTGCGAAGACAGTGAGAAAATCAAAGTTGCCAGGGTTTCATGGAGGAGAGGAGGGATGAATAGGTAGAAAGCAGAGGATTTAGGGCAGTGTAAATACCCCAAGGGGCTTCCCTGTAGCTCAGATGGTCAAGAATCCACCTGCAATTCAGGAGACCCGGGTTCAGCTCCTGGGTCGGGAAGATCCCCTGGAGAAGGGCATGGCAACCCACTCCAGAATTCTTGCCTGGAGAATCCCATGGACGGAGGAACCTGAAGGGCCCCAGTCCATGAGATCGCAAAGAGCTGGGCACGACTGAGCGACTAACACTACACTCCTAAACCCTCTGATATGATAATGACAGATTCCTGTCCTGATGCATCTGTCCAGACCTATAGAATGTACAAAACGAGGCATGAACCTTAAAGTAAACTGGGGGCTTTGGGTGAATATGATGTGTCAGCATAGGTTCATCAGTTGTAGCCAATGTTCCTCCCGGGTGGAGGACGTTGGTAGTTTAGGAGGCAGTGTGGCGATACTTGGAAATCTCTGTAATTTTCCATTCAATTTTGCCCTGCACCTAAAACTGCTCCAAAAAATAACGTTTGTTAAAAGTGTTTCAAAGGGCAGCCGGCGGTGGGGGTGTGGCAGGCGTTCCCCGAAGATGAACAGCAGCAGCAAGGTGGGGGGGGGGAGCGGAGTGTGGGCTCCAGACCTGAGCTGGGGCGAGGGCGGGGGACTGTGGACTCCAGACCTGAGCTGGGGCGAGGGCGGGGGAGAGCGCTAATGGGTGGGGGCGGGGGCGCCACGGGGTCTGGGTATGAGTCAGGAGGTCAAAACCGGTTCCCATACGTTCCGGGGGAGTTTTAAAAATGTTAATGACTGGGCCTCACTACCGTAAATGCTGCGCCCTGGGCACTGGGAATTTTCAGACCTTCCCAGGGAATTCTAAAGTGCAGCCGTGTTTGAGAACCATGGCGGCGGGTGTGATGGGTATTTTAGTGGTGTGGGCCGGAGGGGGGATTATATGTCACTTCAAGATCACTGGCTTCCCGGGGACAGACAGGGCCCCTGTGCAGAACAGAAGCTGGGTTCGTGTTTCAGGATGTGATGGACACCCGCTCAGTGGAAGGCCTGGCTCCTCTTACCCCTCTGCCTGTCGCAGAGGATCCGGCTGCGGTTGAAGGGTCAGACCCCTCCAAGCAGGAAGGGGCACCTTGGCTTAAGGGGTCCAGCCTCCTTGTCAGGACTGTCTCGCCTTTAGCCCCTAACAGCCAACCACAATTGACGGTGGCATCTGAACTCCCCCTTCCTGTCGGGTAGAACGTCTGAGCCCTGATCACAGAGCCCCCTGGAGCCTGCTCCCGACACCAGGCGCTTCTCCTTTCAGCTCTCGCCAGGAGCCACACCTGTCTCTTGTTTCTTTCTCTGGCTCCTGCTCAGAGTGAGCTCAGGCTTTCCCAGTGGCTCAGCGGTAAAGAATCCACCTTCAGGAGAGGTGGGTTCGATCCCTGGGTGGGGAAGATCCGCTGGAGAAGGGAATGGCTCCCCACTCCAGAATTCTGGCCCAGAAAATCCCGTGGACCGAGGAGCCTGGCTGGCTGTTGTCCATGGGGTTGCAAAAGAGTCGGACACGACTGAGGAACTAAATAAAAGCCACAGCAGTGTGAGCTCCGGGTCAGAGGGACCGCCTGGGTCAGACCTGGGCCTGACCTCCCCCCACGCTGCCCGCAGGTCACCTTCATGCTGCTGGACCAGAACAACCGTGAGCACGCCATCGACGCCTTCCGGCCCGACCTGAACTCAGCTTCCTTCCAGCGGCCCCAGAGTGAAACCAATGTGGCCAGCGGCTGCCCACTCTTCTTCCCCCTCAACAAGCTGCAGTCGCCCAAGCACGCCTACGTGAAGGACGACACCATGTTCCTCAAGTGCATCGTGGAGACGAACACTTAGGGCTGGCGGGGCCCAGCCATCCGTGCCCGGGTCCTCTGGGAGACCAGCTCGGAAGGGGGCTCAGCACGATGACCGCAGTCCCAGCTCCTTGTGCCCAAGACCCCAGGGCACGATGATGGGCCGGGGCTGGCATCCCCTGAGCCTGGCTGACAGATTGGCCGTCACCTTAGCGGCGGGACCTTGGAGCAGACCCACAGAGGCAGAAGGTGCAGAGGGAGGTGGTGCAGGGCTGGTCCCCCAGCACTCACCACGCAAAACTGGAGGCCGGAGAGCCAGCCCAGCCCCGAACGTGGGATGGACTCTGGCCCAGAGAGGGAGGGTGTGGGCGCCCGGCTGGGGCGTGGATGCTGAGCTGGAGATGCGGGACCTCAGCCAAGGGCTCCGGGGATGGGGAGGCCTCTGCAGGTCACCATGGAGACCGTGCTTGCTGTCTTCCTGCTCGGGGGTCAGAACCGCAACCAGGGGTGGAAGGGACGGAGCCCAGTGCAATTCAGTCTGTCCCGGCCTGGACTGAGTTCCCCGGCACTGGAGGTGAACAAGCAACCACAGAGGGCTATGCTTTGGGGAGGGCATCAGACTGGGGGTGGATTTGAAGACCTTCGCGGTTCCTTCCAAGCCCAGAGCATCACTAACGCTCAGCCCCCAGGCCAGCTGAGGCCAAGGGCTGCAGCGTTCGGGAGCCCCGTGCCCTCCTGCGTCCTGACTCGCCTTCAGCACCTTGAGGTGGGCAAGCTGGCCTGCATGGCTCTGTCCCCACTGGGCCTGGCAGCTGGCTTCCCCTCTATGCAGAGCCACACAGGCCCTGTGTCCTGCGCCTCCCCCAGCCAAAAGCCCCTCCGCCTCCTCCCGGGGAAACCAGGTCTCTGAGCTCCCAGGAGCAGCCTCAAGGAGCGTGGAGAAGGATAGGGACCCACACTCCCCGTGCTGCCTGCCTGGGGCCCCCCTCAGCCATGTTCAGAACCCCATGTCACTGCTGAGCCAAAGTAACCACATCTCTATTTGACGGGTCAGGACCTCTGAGCCACCCGCAGACGCTGTCCTTTTGTGTGTATAAAGCCAAAGAAAGAACTGTTCTTTAATCTCTATTGCAGTTTTCATGAAGGGTTGTGGGAGCTGGTGGTGACTTTTGAGGTCTGGGTGGACCAGCTAGTTTTGCAGGCAGCACCCAAGGTTCTCCTGCTTGGTCTTCTGTCTGTAACGGGGGAACCGCCCCGCCTGCCTCACTCACCGAGTTCACTGACCTCAGAGGAGATGCTACACAGGAGAGGCTGGCAAGAAGCGGGAGCACCACCGCCCGCCTGGCCAGGCCAGGGCTCACTTGTCTTCCCACCTTGGAGGTCGCTACACGACCTGCTGCAGGACCCTGGCCCATCTTCCCAGATCCCCGAGGCTTCGCGTTGCCACGCAGAGCTCCAGGGCAGCCCGCCTCACCTCTCCCCTCCAGCCTTCCCTGCAGCTTACTCTCCTGCTGAGGCTCTGAGTCACTCCTCAGACCCTCAGTGTTCTCATCTGTGAAATGGGTTAGCAGCCCCACCTGTCGTCTCCAGCCCGGCGTTTCTGAGGCTGGCCATCCCACGGGAGGTGAGTGGGCAGCACGGCCCAGTGGGCTGAGTGTGTCAGAACACCAAGACCCCAGCCCCCAGGGCAGATCTGGTATCCCATCTTGCCTCAGCCTCTCCACTTACAGACACGAGAAGCACCCTGCCTGGCCCTGACCCGCCCACAGGGTTTTCACAAGGCTGAAATATGATGCCAGAGCTCTAGTGCCTCGCAGGCTAGCGGCATCTCGCCAGACACGACAGGCCACCAACACGTCAGGACTTCATTTTCTCGTCCCCGCCGCTGACAACCTGTCATGAGGCTGACCTGCTTCCTTGTGTGTGTGGAAACAGGAGACGAGTGATGGGAACACTTGTCTCAAAGCTGGTGTCCTGGCGAAGGAATAACCACCCCTACTCGCTGAGCTAATAAGGGCTTTGTGGGACAAGCACTCCTAGAGACAACTGTCACTCTGTACCTTTCACCACTTGTGTCTGATGAGAGGAGACACACACTCTCTTCAAACAGTGTGAGCCGCAGCCATTCTTTCGGCTGAGCTTTATTGAGACCTACTGTGCTGGACCCTGGTGGGTGGGGAAGGGTAAGGGATGCACTCTATCCTCACGGAACTCTTAGCTCTGTGGGCAAAACAGGTCCATAAGCAGATCAATAAGAGAAGCTCAGAGAAAGCTTGGGACGTTCAGACCCATTGGTTGAAGCAGGGAGGGCTTCCTGGAAGAGGTGGCATGTAAACTCAGCCTTTAAATATTTTGAGATGCCGAGGATAGGGATGTGGGGAAGAGCAAATGCCCAGAGATGGGATGCTGTCTTGCTTTCAGGTAATGTCTGGAAGGCAGAACCACAGAGGGAAAGGCAGGAAGGTAGGATGGGCTGGAGTGCAGAAGGCATCCAAGGTGGTCCCAGCTGCCTGAAAGTATCAGCGCTGGGTGGGAGGGTCTCGAGTCGCCTGCGTGTGACCCTTCAGGCTGTTGATGGCAGGACGAGACGGTGATTTTAAACCTTTACTAATTTACCTTCCACCAAAGCCCTACATTAAATGCACCAAACACCTGAGGCGCTACCATTTACCAGTGGTCCAGGGGGAGGGGAGGCAAGACGCAGGCGGATCCATTCTTTCATTGGCTCCTCATAAACCCCTGTGAGGCAGGCAGAGTTGAATATCCTTTTAGAAACTGGGAAACTGAGGCCGGAGAGACCAGGTGGCCTCCCTAAGGTCGGGTGGGAGCAAGGGAGGCAGTGGAATTAGGAAGAAGGAGTGTTTTCCTTCTTCTAGACCGACGAGGGATTTCCGTCTCTTTTGTGTCTTCGGCCAAGATGAGGTCACATCTTCACGGGGAGCCTTGGGAGGTGATGGGTCCCTCTGCTCCCAGCCTGTGGGAACCACCCTGTCACCCCCACAGTGCCCATGAGGAGGGGCGTGTGAGCACAACAGAGGGGACTTCACTCACGGGCGGCTCACAGGCCACCTCGGTGGTGTCTGCAGGGGATCTCGGACCACCCCGAGCCATAGGGACAGCTATTATCTCTGCCCTTAATTGTCCATTTCTAATGGTAAGAGACATGTACTCTAGTAGAAACACTGGATAACTACAAAAGTGATGTACAAAAGAAAGTAAAAAAAAAAATCCTCCGTGAGCCCAGTGTCCAGAGAGCGCTACTGGGAACATTTTAGTAAATGTTCTTTGTCATTTTGAAACGGTACGTACAGACACACACAGAGAGAGAGACTTATAAAAAATGCATTTAAATCATACTAACTACAGCTTTACTCTCATTTTTTCACTTTTCACCCCCTTATCACACCCATCCGTTGGCTTCTGTTTGTAGGCAAAGACACAGAAGCTAAGAAGAGGGAAGTGATGTGTTGAAGCCCCATCCGGGTCAGCGGTGGGGTCAGGATTCACTCTTCCGGTGTGAGTCACACTCAGATGGAGAAACTCAGGCCCCAAGAGGAGGAGGTCACGCAAGGCCATGTGACCGTGGGGCTCCTGGACCCTCCTCTGCCCGCCCAGGGAAGTCTCAGGAGGGGATCTGCCCTCTGGGTCTGGAGGGCTGGTGTGTCCAGGAGCCAGAGGGTGGGATGCTGGGCCCACCCGGGCAGCAGGAGAGAGAGACGGCCTCTGCCTTCCGGCAGCTGTACCCCAGGAGAGCAGACAGGCCCCGCGCTGCCCCTCACTGGCCCCCGCTCCCTACTGACCTCCAGAGCCGAGACCTGCTGAGCCTCAGTTTCCTCTTCTGCATGGAGGTGAAAATCCTAGCCTCGCAGGGTTGCTCTGAGGGTGCCGGGGTCCAGGAAACCATTCACTTCATATCCTGTGGGGTCCCAGTCTAGTAATAACAGAAACAAGAATCCCGGACAGTGATGGAGTGCCTGGCCGACTGATAGACCCCGAGCTGAGCACTCACAGGCGTCATTTCATGAAACTTGCGTCAAAAACCCCACGAGGAGGTGGCATTATGATCATGCCTCTTCTCTAGAGGAGGAAACCCAGGCTCTGGGGGGTAAAAATCACTCCCCCAAGGTCACACAAGGGCCGGAAGCCAGGACTTAGACCGAAATGCTAGATTCAGACCCTTAATCCCCTGATGCCATCAGCATAATATTGTGGAAACAGTACAGAAAGATGAGATGGGCTTTCATTCTGCACAGATTGAGGCTCATTTTTAAACAACTGTGAAATGATGAGAATGCCCGTTCACTGAGCACCTCCTTCACTTGCTTTACTTGCGAGCACCACCCTCGTGTTGATAACTGGCTGGGAGGAAGGCAAGGTTTCCTCCCTTTATAGATGAAGATATGAGCTGAGAGAGGTCAGGCAGTTTCCCCAAGGTCACACAGCTAACAGGCAGACCTCTGTTTTACCCATGACTGACAGTCAGAGGTTTTATCCGTGACGGGGTCCTCTCCGATGCCTTGGGAGCAGGAGAAGGTCAAATGGATGTGGTGTCCCTTCTGGACCGACTGGCATCTCCTCCGGGGGAGATGCCCCTGCCTGCCGCCCCCAGCCTGGTGGGACCCCTTCGGGTGGGGCTGATACAGGCCACGGGGATGAAGGAGGAAGCTGGGGGAGCCACTGGTGGGCCAGCGAGCCGTGGCCAGCTGGATCTCCTTCGCTGCCTCGGCGTCCAGGACTTGTGTGTTCATTTTGACCAAAGCACATTTAGGTGGCACAGAGTTAGGGGACGCTTCCAGAGGGGCCGGAGTGTTACAGTCATCTGGGGTGATGACAGCTCTTCCTTTTCTGGTCCTTTCCTCAAACGCTACCCACCTCAAGGCGTTTTCCTCCTTAGAAAACCTGGGGGTGTCTGGTGCTAAAGTCACCATCACCATCCCAGCTGATCCTGGTAAGACCGGGAGGTCAGGGTCACCCAGTGGGTCAGGGGCTCAGCTGTGGTGGCCTGTGATTCCTCCCTGGTGGGAGGAGGTCAGCTGAGCCATCATCCCTCCCTGTCCATTGTGCTCTCCCTCCTGCCGGTTTCTAGGCAGCCAGATCCATTCTTTTGGCAGTAGGGCCCCGGCTACCTTTGTGCAGATGAAAAGAAGGCGCTCAGAGAAGAGAGATTCCCTTGGGGCAGCCCAAGCCCAGCCCCAGCGTCTTCTGCCACACACACCCCCACCTCTGCTGCACCCACTAACGTGTAGATGTCAATACTGCAGAGTCTCGTTTTGGGGACAGCTGGCTTCTGTCCCTCACGAGCCCCTTCGGTGCAGGAAGCCGGGGACCAGCGTTGGAGGGGAATCCACGTGGGACATGGGTGTCTGGGACTGGGCCGGGTGAGAAAAGCTTGTCTCTGCTGCTGCTGTGCCCCCTGGAGGGTGGCCTGCCCTGTGGACATCTCCTGGGGCCGGCGTGGGGGGTCTGAGGACACTCCCAACCCCCTTAGACCATCGAGTGCCCGGTGTCCCACCTGCCAGGGACCCCATACTCTGGCTGTGGGGCCTTGGGCCAGTCACCTGCTGTCTCTGAGCTCACGTTGCCGTCCGCACAGTGGATGGGTGGGTGCGGAAAGATACAAGGCTGACCGTGTGGGATCCTGGGACAAAGAGACCGAGGAGGTCCTCCTCCCCCGGCGCAGGAGAAGCATGCACATGCCCAGGTCAGGGCGTGCAGGCCACTTCAGCCCGCACCCCCAGCCTCACACCTGCGTGTGTTCGGTCAGGAGCAGCTGTTGGAGGCCAGCAGTCCAGTTCCAGTCCTGGCTCTGTGACGCAGTAGCTGTGTGTCCTTGGGCAAGTCATTTAGCTTCTCTGTGCCTCCATCCCCCCAAGGGTAAAAAGGAGATAAGAAACTCCTACCTCGTGGGGG